GGGGGAGGCGCGTCCCCCTCCCCCCAACCCGCCCCTGTGCCACAAGATTCCTGCCACGAATTTCGACTCTGAGCGGAAACTGCCTGTTAGCCAGGAGGCCAGGCAGGAGGAAAGAGATTAGTATACAGGCCGACGCCCAGCCCAAAGAGGGTTCGCGGTAGAATTATTATTTTTTGATTAAGTAATTAGTTTTTTATTGATCCCCTTGAATAATTTTTTATTGATGCGATAAATAGTTTTTTTTTGATACTTCACCCCTGCGGTTGCGTCAACTATGCGACAATTCGGGCACTGCTGCTAGTGCGCCAAAAAGTTGACTATGCAGGTCCCATTGTGCTATGTGCTGCAAGCTATCGGTTTCCATTATGTCATTGTTGGCGTTTGTTTAGACCCGCAGCACGTTGCTGGTGTCAGAAACGAATGGGCAGATGACTTAAGCCGCAATTGCTTGGAAGGTTTTGAGCAGGGTTGTGGTAACCCCTGGCCAGTTGAGGGCTTGATCAATTCTTCGACGCTGGGAAGGTGGGCCTCCTAGGCTGCCACCGCAGGCCCATCTGGATTGATCAAGCGGTCTGAGCTTTGAAACAGTTGCTGAGTGCAGGTGGTGGCGGTGGTCGGGTCCACACACTAGGTGCGTTTACGGGCTTGCGCGTAGGAATACAACCCTCTCTAATAGCGGTCGGCTTTTTTGTTGACTTGGTGTGCTTGACGGTACTAGAGTTGAGGCACCCTTTGTGTTGTTGCGCCTGTTAGGTTTTTACGCATTTCACCCCTTGGGTTCTGAATCTCTTTGCCCCTTCACCCTCCACCAAGAAATTCAGAATAACATAGAATAACTTTTGGAGCGGCCAAAATCTGTTGAACACTCACTCGCTGAATCTTCGGGGAATGTGGGCCCGTGATGGCCCGTGTGGAAATTCCCCTGCAGGAACCCCATGTCCTGTGAATAAAAGTGGCGCGCAACTGCGGCTCGCATCTCTAGCCCAAGCGCTCCGCTTGACCAAGCTCATGGGCTGGCACGTTGCTGGTGTCAGAAACGAATGGGCAGATGACTTAAGCCGCAATTGCTTGGAAGGTTTTGAGCAGGGTTGTGGAGGGCTTGATCAATTCTTCGACGCTGGGAAGGTGGGCCTCCTAGGCTGCCACCGCAGGCCCATCTAGATTGATCAAGCGGTCTGAGCATTGAAACAGTTGCTGAGTGCAGGTGGTGGCGGTGGTCGGGTCCACACACTAGGTGCGCGTGGTGCTCACCAGGGAGTAGGCTAGGTGAATTTGGAGAAAGAGCTAAAGCCTTCATTGACCCCGTCGGGCCTGTAGGGCCATGTAGAGGCCGTTGGGCCCGTGAGCCCTATATATAATATACGTCAAGCGACCCTTCCGCCAAGCTTTCAGATTCAATTCGCCGCCCGAGCTTTGCTGAGGTCATCTTCGCGATCATTCGAATCATCACTGCCATTTTCTTGAAGGCCTGCAGTGAAGTGAGAGAGCTTTGGCACCATTTCACACCTACTGGTACCATAGGCACCCACACGCTGGTAGGTATAGGCAAGAGGGCAGCAGGAAATCTAAATACAGCATATCAAAGTATCCACTTATGCGGCACACAGTTTTTCTCCAGGAGACCCTGGCGACAGCTGCCGGTGATGCAGCGCTGGCAGTTCAGGAGACTGACTGGCTTTGACCATTCCATGCTGACCTGGTAGATGGTCCGCCTGGCTTGTGACGCGGGATGGTTCCCACAGAGTTCTTTTTTTGGGGGATGTTTAAACAAAGTGGAGTGCCTCGGATATGCCCTGTAAATGGTGCCAGCCTGGAGTTGTAGTTGTATCATTATCAATGTTTAACAAGCCGTGGTGGGCAACGTGTGCAGGTTTGGGCACGCAAGTGGTGTGTGAGGTAAACTTGTGTTTACACAGGAGAAGGTGCGCTCAAAAGAGCAGTATGTCTCTCGATTGGAGGACTGCTCTGAATCTGTTGTATTGCCGTTGCTAGACAATGGTGTTCGTGGTTGGAAGCAGTGATGCGTTCTTCAGTGACTTTCAACAATCGCAGGAAATTTTCTTGGAGGCAGACTCTGATGGCAACGGAGCATGGTCCTCAAAAACAAATTACGTAGATTACGCTTAAGTTGTACAGGGCATTGAGTGATCATGCAATGTACATTGTTTATATAACTCCGCATGAAGATTGATGCTACCAATTTGTTGTGCGCACACACGCACACAGCAAAAATCCTTTTCTCATTGGCATCCATCCCGTTTTTTCCTTTACATCCAATGCCTGAGGTTATCACAAAGGCAGAAATGGATTCAGCATGTAGCAACGCCGCCAGGGACTGATGTGTTTGGTTCAATTTATTCCTCTGATGAGTTCTTGAAGCACAACCTTTGTCAAGGTTGTGCTTCATTACCTGAGCATCCTGGAGATAGAAGCCTGGGAACTCAATAGAAACCTCACACATTGCGTTGCACAACGATGACGCGTCGCACCATTTTTGATACACAACGAGCGGGCCAATTGATTCTCAGTTGAAGAGCATGAATGACAGGCATTTCTTTTCTACTGCGTAGCTTCACCACTATTGAATAGTCACTATTGTTTTGGTAGACTATAAGCACAATACAATCATCTAGATTGCTTGATCGAATCAAATATACGCCGCGGTTTTGATTGTAAGGAAATGACCAACCGGCCTTGTAACTTAGTGAAGCGCGTCTCCCCACTGCTCTGTCTGGTGAGGTGCACGAAGTTGAGCCACTCTTTGACCTCTTAGATGATGGGGTTCGCTTGCTCAGTGTTGGTGGATGCTTCGGTGGAAAGGGTGCAGGCTTTGTGCAAGCTGCTGCCTATTGTAGCGCAACTGCAGGATGGTGAGGTGACAATCAAGGAGTTTTGCCAAGGCATCATGAGTCATGGCCTCACGGCTTCCCGCAAAGGAAGTGCAAAAAAACAGATATCCTCTCAGTATGCTATCCGTGCTTTGTCTTCTCTGTGACGCTAATTGGTGCCTACCAGATCTGAAAGTGATGCGCTGAGGGCTGAAGGGACAAGCGCGCTCTTTGGACGTGATCTCCATTATGCATGCCGATGGCTTAGCCGAGCTTTCCGTCATGTCACGTTTTTCGGAGGTTGGGACCCTCCAAACTGGAGAGGTCTGAACTTGTACCTATCTTGGAGGGTGCACCAGTAATTAATGCGAACAATTGACAATAGGTAAGACCCACACTTGGAGACACTACATCAGCAGCTCCACACTTTGTGCACCTCAGCTGCGATTCCAAGGATGCAAATATGATTATGACACAGCCCAATGCTCAGCAGCTGTTTATAGATCTGAGTGCATGCCTCCAGTGCATGGGATTGCACATATGAGAATATGTGCATGTGCCATGTGCGGAAATCAACAACCGCGGTGAGGTGCCGGGAGATGAAACGCAGCTTAGCACTTCTGGAGCAAACACTCGGGGTGTGGCCCACAGAGCGAAAGCTGTGGAAGGGCGAGAACTGCAAGTCGGACTGTCCTCAGCTCAAAGTTTTACACAACCTCTGACAATTTTTCAAGATATATGGAAAGAAGACAAAGTGTGTTACTGTGCTGGAGCTAGTGCACCCAAATCGAAAGGTCTATATATTATAAAGTAAAAAGATGGACAGTAGGCAGTCTAAAGGAAAGAGGAAAAGAGAAGGAAGATGAAGGAAGAAAGGAGACAAGGATTTGATCATACAGACATCGCTACTAGGAGCAAGAAGCTACTACTGTAGTAGCTCCTGGCATTACTATTAGTATCAAGAAGCTACTAGGAACAAAGGGCATCGCTACTAGGAGCAAGGACGCTACTAGGGGCTCCTGGCCTTACTACTAGGAGCAAGGACGCTACTAGGGGCTCCTGGCATCGCTACTAGGAACAAAGGGCATCGCTACGAACGGAGCAAGAAGCAACTTCATCGGAGCAGGTGGCCAGTGGCATGAAGGACACTCGCAGGGACCAGCTCCGAGCACTTGCCGCTTGGATCGCTTGGATCGGAATGCTTTGCGGAGGAGCTCTCGCAACCATGTCCGATACGCTTTGTTGAAGGGAACTCACTTTCCTTGTCATTTTTGGGATGTCACTGTAACTTTTTAGTTGATGGCCAAGTTTTAAAGTTTTGCAGAGTAGTCTGCTTAAGATGCCTGTGCTGGTGCACAGTGCACGGAGGGCCTATTCCAGTCCTTTTTGATGCATGTTAGCTCATCCAGGATTGAAACAATGTCACCAGGAGCGACGATTAAAGTCACCATTTGTGACAGGTTCTTGAAGGGCTCATAGTCACAGTCATGCATTGTTTCTTGAGCTTCTCCTGCATTTTGTCCTCCAGGCTGCCATTATTCAAGATCCGTTTGCTGTTGTTATTACATTGACGTGCCATACATTGCCATATCAAGTTTGAAGCAGCATACCGTATTGCACCTGCACATGGGCAGGGCATGCCTGGGCCACTGCGCTGAGGATGACACGACTCTGCACAGCCATTTGATGAACAACAATGGTGAGACATAAAGAGATGTACTAGCTTGCTGACACTGCCCGCCCCTGAGCTTGCTAGATTTGGGGCTCAGCATGAGATTTGCCAGCACTTCTAGGTGGCGCACTCCTCCAGAGCAACATAGCTAGCAGCTATGTTTGTTTAGGGGACTGTATAGACTTGAGAGGTTGCTGTTTCACATTGAATGTTTTCAACCCCTTTTGCGTCAACATTTTTCCGAACTTTCTGGCAGTTCGGGCTGTCAGAGACCTCTTGGGCAGAGACACAGGCCTATCCCCACAAGTTGACTGTTGGCCAAACCAATGATTTGAGTTTCGTTTGAAAGGGATATGCCTGTGGCTGCTTGGAACATCCCAGCTTTGCCAAAGGCAGAACGGGTCTTCTAGGATTGGCGCAGTCCCTCCAAAAGTTGTAGCAGTAAAGCGTGTACTTTGCAGAAATCTCCACTTGTCTGACATGCATGACATGACATTACATCATGAACCTATTCAATGGAGGTGGTTAGTTGTTTGGATGCCGACTCCCCCCTCTTCGTTTCTTTCTCTCGCACACTTTGAGCATGGTGAAGCCTCGGCATGCGACTTGTTTCTTGAACTGGCTGCGGGCCCAAACTATACACAACACGACCAGAAACCTTCATAAACCTTCCAATCAACACCGTATGGGTGCTTTTGGCACTTCCAACTCCACTTCTTCAATCATTCCAACTATTATATATGCAATCCTCATCATTAAATAAAGTGAGTCTTAGAGATTTTCGGAGACTCCTTCAAAACACTCGAAATGGCAACTGCAGCGCTATTGGTGGCTAGTGGTCTGGACCTCAACCAAAGGCGATAGAATGTTCTTACGACACCTATGCCACGTACATGCAGTGCGATTGTTTTGACTTGTCATCGTTGTTGTAGTGACGTGGTAATAGTTATATATTAGCTGTGGTAGCAGTAGCAGATAGTGGTTAGTATAAAATTAGTGATAAGATGTGATAAGGATGATTAAACCTTATGTTTCACCACGTTTGACCTGCATGCCCACGGCCACAATGGATTTTGTATGAGTGTGTTGGACCTATTTCTATACCGCCACGGTATGTTCTCACGGATCCAGTTAGGAGGGAGAGGCGAAAAGATGAAACGGGATGATAAAGAACATTATCATAAGGGCCTCTTTGAATATACGTAAAACAGAAGATAAGTGTTTTTCCTCTCACTCCTACCTGCCTTTTCGCCAAAATACAGGCATAAGTTCACAGAAAACATGCTATATTCATCTCTCCCTCTATATGTATCTATGTGTGTGTGTCTATTGAAAGCCAAGAAGATGTGAACACCAAGGTTGGTTGCCTGCTCCGGCTCGGGCTGTGGCAAGGGGCCACGGCGGACATGGCCTTCCAAGCAGAGCAAGCCACCGCCTGAGAGGGCATTCGTGAGCGCTACTTTGCGCCGCTTTCAAGGTTTTAGGATGGATGCCACAAGCCGCTGCGGTTTTGCAATCCTTTGCGCCAAGGAAAGGCGCCAATCTTGCAGATTTCCCTTTGCCAGGACTCAGGTTTCGCAATGAACACTTCTAAATGACACGGTGTCGCACAGAGGACACGCTGAGCCATGCAATGGAGCAGCTGTGGTCGGGAGCTCTTGAAGATGTCAGTTGGTCATAAGTTGAAAATCGCAGACCTTTACCGTCCTTCTTCTCAGGCCTCCAACATCCGCACAGGCACAGGCGGGGCAGAAAGCTGATGAACGGTAGCAGGGAGGGCACAGGTTAGCAGGTAGCTGCTAACGCCCTGAACTGAGCATGGTGTTCTGGTATTCCTGTATATTCCGTTCTAATCTTTGTTCCTTGCCGAAGCTGGCGGCTCAGTCATGGAATGTCATGGGAGGGCACCAGTATGATCAGATTATATAGAATCTTGATCTAGGCAACAGTGCGCTGGCAGAAGACGTAGGCTCTTGGAATTGAATGGCAAAGGTAGGCAATGCTGAAGACATTTGAACACATTCAGATCATGGCAGCAATTGCAACATGATCGTAACTTCTTCCAGCTTGTTCCAAATGTGTGTGGCATAGAGAGTGACATGAGATCACGGTTTGGAAAAACAAGTGTTTGTGACATTTCACGATAGCACCCCGACAGTTGCGTTCTTCGTTCGTGGCATCGCCAATCCTTGGATGTGTGGGGTTCTTTCAGCCCAAGCGTGGCACTGGCTGAAGCTGATGACTCAGAGCCAAGAGCAAATGGGTCTTGTCCCTTTAGGCAGAAGGATTCAGAACCAGTTGCTTTCCCTGGTGCACGATCCGAGGATTTGGTTCCGGTTTCCGGTGTCTTTTGTACTTGATTCTTTCTACCAAGATTCCATGGCCCGCCGGGTTTATGGCCCCAGCCGCAGCCGCAGCTGTGACAGAGGCCGCCTTTGGATAAACTCAATTTCGGGTTTATCTGATCATCAGCGAATTTCAGGTTCCGGTCCCACTGGTGGTGGGCTTCGTGGATGGAGCGACAGCGAAGATGATGGTAAGTACCAATTGAAGGCACCGCAGAAAGCCTCATGTTCTGGTGAGAGAGCGGCATTGTATTAGGCTGTTTGATGTCCAACCCCGATGTCAGACACCTGCGAATCTGGTCTCTGCTTCTGGCTGGAAGCAGGTGGGATACAAATGATGTGTGAAACAATGTGATGTATTATATAAATAGAAAAAGGTCCTGCAAGATCCTGCGAGACTTTTGGTCAAAGTGTGCACACACGGAAACCCATACACCCTACACTATAGGCATGGCATTTTGTGAAGTCTTCACTTGCACTCCCTTTCTTGCACTCTACAAGGCCTGGTGTACCATACACCGTTACGTTTGATTACTGGTGCGGCAGTGTGTGTTGGGTATTCTCTTGGCCGATGTGTTGGCCTCTTTGACAGCTGTTTGTTTTTGCATGCAAGTTTCTTCGTTTGCAGGGTCCTTTTTGCTTACATACATTTGTGTTTGTTTGGCCTTGCATGTCACTCCGTGCGGGTGATGATGCATCTTAAAGTGCATTTCTCTTGCTGTTTGGAATTGCTCGGTTTTCAAGGTTCTTTCACAGTGTTTGGACTCCTGTTGCTGGGTTTGTGCACTCGAGCCTGCCTGGATATATTTGTTCAGTTCTGCCTGGATATATTTGTTGAGTTGAATGTTGTTTAATAACGTGTACTGAACCAGAATGTGTTTGCATGTTCGCAGGTATTGGACCTCTCTTTGAGCTTTGACACATTGTCCAGGTCAACCTGAAAAAAAGCAAGCTCGCGGCTTCGCAGGCACCCTCAGAATTTGAGCACGCCCCGTTGTTTGGTGGCCTTTGCTCACATGCATAATGATTTCAACTGTTGAGCCGAAGACACTAAGTCTAATCTGAAAGACTAGTTGAAAGACTGGTCAATGCTGGCCAAACCGTGGCTAGGGCTCCGCTGTGCTTTGTCGCATCATTGCGCACAAACGAAGATTTAGACGAGATCTTTTTGTGCCCACAGGAGATCTTCTTGCGTCCTGCCCCAGTCATCTCCACTGTCCGACTTTCTCCAGGTCCAGGTGCTTTAGGCCATGGCGCTTGTGCAATGTGTACATCTCGTATCACCTTGGCACATAATTCCAGCAACCATAAACAACCATGAACAAGCATAAGGCGATTTGGTCTCAGCAACAGCCAAGACGATCAATTGGTCACTGCATAGTAAATAGGACTCCGTGGAGTCGATGCTGGGTGGGACACCCCCAAAACAGATTGATAAGGACTGATGACATACTATAGACTGTGATTTGTAATAGCAGGTTTGGACATGGCTTCAGCAAGTCCAAATGAGATCGTGTCTAGGCTATGCAGAGGAAGAGGCCCAAGGTGACAAGCCGCAGAACGCCGCTCTTACTGCCACTGTGGCCTGTTAAAGCACCAGTGTCCAGGGGCAGGCAGAAGGCCATTGGTTAGGATCTTTTAATTGTGCACTCTAGTCTCTACAGTAGAGTGTACGTCCGTATTAGAGATTTGCCTCTTTTCTTGGCTGATTAAGAGAGTGTAGCCTACATGCGATGTTCAAGTTAAAACGGGCCTTAACGTTTCTCAACTCGCTGTACTGCTTTGAGCTTTGAGGCCAAGAAGGTGGTCGACTTGACACCGCGAGCAGCAACCAAGGATGTGGCAAATGTTCACATGGCGTATGTTTTTTGGGAGCAGCGAAAACCATCAATGTATATGTATACACATGCACACACGCACACACACACACACACTTAGATAAGGGCTCGCAAGAGCGGTATCAGTTGCGACATCCCCGTGAGATTATAGCACTTTACGTTACTGATGCTAGACCTTGACTTGCACAACGGAAAGGTGAACGGGTCCGCTTCAACAGTTTTGTTTAACATGGGTGAAACGGAGGAAACTCATTAGCTCTTTATGGTGGGTTGAAGATGCAGTTACACTGTTACACAAGAAGGCGTCCCTTCTCGCTTCACCAGTTGGAGTTGACACACACACACACAATAAGCCGTCATTCGGCGCACTCTGCTTGGTTGGCGGGTGGGGGGGCGGCAGGGGTGCGGGGTTCGGGCCTGGGTTGAGAAAGGGTGCAGGGGTGCGGGGGGGCAAGAGGGGCTTTCAGCATGAAGCTTGAAAGCCGAAATCGGCGCACCCTTGACTAAAAATTGACCTAAGACTTAAAAAACCTCGAGCAACGAACGAACGCCTGAAGAAGAGGAAAGAACCCTGGAAAGAAGGAAAGCAAGACCGTGCATCCAAGTGCGACACACACACACACACTGACACACACGCACGCACGTATTATATATATATATATATGACACTTGGATTTATATTTGCAAAAAGTCCAGGATCTAGATGTGGTGGAAGAGCCACAAGAGAAGGCTCGGAGGAAATACACATCATAATCTGTGAACTCTGGCAGCAATCGAACTGTTCAGTTCATGACTTGTTGGTTTCGTCAAGGTGCTTAGAATCCGAAAAAAGAAGCAGCCCGAAAAGACCAGCGCGCAGGAGGACAGAACCAATGCTTTTTGAGTTTCTGCTAGTCCTGTGGCAAAACAGGGCAGGTCACCCGCATACTGCGCAGGACACTCCTGGAACAGAACAGCGGCCAAGGCAGACTGTTTCGATCTGTTTCGGCTTACATTGGATGTCAAATTGACAATTGGATGCTTGCAGGGGCCAAGGTGGCCAAGATCAAGCTGACGTCAGGAAAGGCAATGAATCAGCAACTCAGTTCTGCATTGTTCCAACTCCTTTCGTCTCCCGAACCTAGTTTCCGAACTTCACTTCAGTCAAACACTGCCATAAGCATAATTCCATACAAAGGCTTTTGTGAAGGTCCTCGCATGTGAAACCATTGCAATCGTGCGCAATGCACAACCCAATTTTGATAGCGATTCCAAGGAGAGACTCCAACGGGCCGGAAAGCTCAAAGCTGCCAATCATGTCAGCAGTCAGGATGGCAAGCGTCGCCCTGAAGCTCCACTTGACCCACCAGAAGACACATTCCACGGGCAGCAACAAAACGAAAACCCACCAGAAAAGATTCGCGATGCGAAGGAGCGAGGTGTCCGTTCGGACAGACATCGAGAAGAGGATCGAGGTGGACCTGAGAGGGAGGAGCCGGAGGACAGGGAACCCAAAAGACGAGAAGAGCATTTGAGTAGACACCGTTTGGAGACTCGAAGGCCGGATCAGGATGACAAAGAGCGGCCCCATGTGAGAGATCAACGAGAAGATGACATAAGTAGACGGGATGGTAGGGATCGAAGGGACCTGCAACCAAGTGACAGAGACCGGAGGCGGGATGGAGATCGACATCAAAGAGAGCCTGAGAGAGATCAGAAGGAACGGCCAGGGGACAAAGAGAGGAGAGATGATCGCGACAGGAAAGAGGATCCAAGTGATAGGAACGATAGGAGAAGAGATGAAAGACGACGGGATGAGCCAGACCGCCGGGATGACAGAGATAGGGGGAATGAGCGGAGAGATGGCAGGGATAGGGACGATAGAAGAGACGACAGAAGAAGAGAGGATAGAAGAGACGACAGAGGAAGAGAAGATAGAAGGGAGGACAGAGGAAAAGAGGATAGAAGGGATGACAGAGG